GTAGTTACTCGACAATTAACATGCAAACAATAATGTGGTAAATAGATCAACTGTAATTAAATTTGACTAGTGTAACTGTATTGTTATATATGTATTGTAAGTAGTGTAAGTTAATGTAGTTTAAACATGGTGTAAAAAGTAATTATAGTGTAAGTACATGTGTAAGTGTAATAAACAATGCTGTAATAAAATAATAAAAATAAAAAATAAATAAATAAAAAAAAAGTGTTCTTGACTGTGAAACATATATATATACACCCGTTCTCGGAAAAGATTTAACCCCAACTTTCTTGTCATACTCCTCGTAAGGAACCGCTATAGACACTAAGGTATGTTTTTGTTCTTAGGGTCGATGCTACATGCCATGTTTTCTGGAAGGTTTGACATAAAACCCGGCGAGGATGGATCTTACTGTATCGATCGAAATGGAACCCACTTCGGACATATTTTAAAATCTTAAATTATCTTCGCACTGGATCAAACTTATCAGTGCTACCGGATGACAAAATTGTGCGCAATGAATTGCTAACCGAAGTTGAGTTTTATCAAATCGAGGGTATAATTGAAGAGATGAGGGCAAGACCTTTCAAGGATTCTATGATCCTTACATCAGAACAACGCGAACAACTGATCGACTTGCTGAAGGAAACGCTCGAAAGCGCAAGCGACGACTACGTTACGTTCTGTTATACAGCAGGCGGTGTGCATACTCCGATTGCATTGCATTGTGGTAGCGTTATTTTCAATATGGCGGTAAAAGCGGTTGAAATGCGTAGAGTTTGACTGAGTATTCCGTAAAAGTTAGGCCGTTTCTTTCTCCTTTCACTATAGGTAAATATAATTTGATATATTCTGAACGTGTAGAAGTATTTTTCGTGCGTATTTATCACGTATTATATCGTTTCAAGGACAAACGCAAGCTCTGTAATTTAGCAGGTAATTTGAGACCGGTTTTCGAGCAGGTCAAATTTGTTGTACGTCGTAGTTTGAAGCCTTTCAAAGATTTGTATGGCCACTTTGATCCTTCTTCAACAGCTCTGACCAAACGCGCTCAAACGCGCTCTAACGGTACAAATGTTTTAAGCATTTTAAGTGACAGTGTTTTAGACCCTTTTGTGGAGCTAAGAGGCCCATTGTCGTGTTTAGTGTGTAGCGTTACATAGCGTTACTACTGCAAGGGATTGTTGTAAATCTACTTTCGTAAGTGAAGGAAAATTAAATAATCGCGAATGTTGTGTGGTAAATCTTCTATCTTGATCATTGAATGAAGGGCAGTTTAATTAGATCAATGAAAAGAGTCACTTGATCCATGAAAACATCTACCTTGCGTGAGGCGACACGACGGAAAGCTGGAAAGCTAAAGGCAGTCGACCGTTGAAAGGTGTTGATAGGCTTGTACGTCTCCTACCATTCCCTAGCGCTTTTAAATCTTCTACCCTCAAAGTTGAGCTCTTATTAGGATATCTTTAGATGACTTTCCTTTGCGATGTGATAATAAGGGTCAGTTTTGAGGTGTCATAAATCTTCATCTGTAGGTTCTTGAGGTTTGGTAAAGCCGGATGAGATTGTGTTACAAAAGGCAATATTTTCTTCTGTGCGCGCCCTATTTTCTTTGTTTCAGAGTATACTTCTCTCCATAAGTAATAACTCCAGAGATACGTTTCTCAAAACCCTCATATAAGTTTCCTCTATTCTCGAAGGGTATTTTGAAACTCTGTACGTTTTTTCTAAACGTGGAGCGCGACAAATTTGTTCTTAGGAGGCGTGGGGCCTATCCTTTTACAAATCCCATATTTTACGCTCGGTGGAAAAAGTTCGTCTATTACAAGGTCTATCTCTCTAATATGCGTTTGCATGTCAAGGATCAATTCACAGTTGAATAACTCGCGTCTAGGAATATAATTACTGACTTTGAAATTATTCATCCCACCATCGGTTATGAGTGTAACTGTTACCATTTGTGTCGAGATTCTCAGGCAGATTGCAGTTTCGAATCTTTCTAAATGACGTCAGTTGCCTCCTAAGAACGAATTCGTCACGGAGGAATGACAGGAGTTGCGCAGGCCCGTCAAACGTTCTAACCTTCGAAGGAATGGCAACAGACAGTGAATCCCCTTTACAATCCACGTATATTCACTCCGTATCTCCCTGCCACCAGAGATGTTCACTCCAACGCGTCAAGATGCAAATGACTCAATTTTTGTTTTACGACCATGATGCAACGCAATCAGAGTGCGCACACCACCACCACGCTTCCAGGAGGGGTTGGACGGCTGCCAACTTTCACTCTGTTGTGACGGCAAGGGACCCATAGTTACAGTGATCAAGAGTGGAAATTACATATTTGGGGGATATACTGAGTAACAGTGGGATCAATCTGGTAAGTCCCTGTAACTCTAACAAGCTCAAAATTAACTTTTGTCGTAGCTTTTTGCCGTGTTACCTCAAAGAAAAAAAAAATCTCGATTGCGTGACCTCTACATTTGTGAAAGCGGAAGGGGGCACATGATCCATTGCGATCCTAATCGTAACCATTTTCCCATGCCTAGGGCCTGTCACTCTAAATTAAATATTAGCCGCGAACATTCTTTGCGAGCAAATGTACCTGTCATACACAATCTAGCCTCGTGGTAGCCGATTAAGACCTATTAATTGAGCTAACCGCCTCCTGGTTAGCTCAGTTGGTTCGAGCGCCGGATTTTGTTATGCGGGAGGTCGAGGGTTCGAGCTCCGGCCGGACCAGTACTCATGGTCTTAAAATAACTGAGGAGAATTTGCTACCTTTCTATAACATCAATGAAATGGATAGATATTCCTAGTCTTCTCGATCGGATAAGGACGAATAAAATGGAGGTTCGAATAAAAGGGAG